AATATATATATATATATATATATATATATATATATATATATATATATATATATATATATATATATATATATATATATATATATATATATATATATATATATATATATATATATATATATATATATATATATATATATATATATATATATATATATTAATCAGCATATATATATATATAAAATATATATATAACCGAATATTTATATATATAATATTATATTCCAAAATATTTTATTTTACTATTTTACAAATATACAAATTACTTATTATCCCATTGTTTAATCCTACTCCTTAAATTGTCCAAAGTGTGTGACCCGTATAGGCACTTATAAAGTTGGCCACAGTATTGGCTCTGCACCAATACTATAAGCAATAAGCGATATCTAGCAACACATTATTGCCCCCAGATTATAATTAAGACGTTTGCACCGTCAAAACCTTTCCAGGACTCAGACTCCGTGTAACTGTATCCCTTTGTCTCAATGTCTAAACTCAATGCAAGGGATTAATAAAATCCAACTTGTATCCATTAAGTCATTCACTGATTTATCAAGTCCGACTAATAGGAACAGAAGTCATAAAAACATCTCAGCATGGCCATGCAATTTCCTTAGTCATAACTTATCAGTGGGCCCCACAAGACATTAATTTCTTTAAAAAGAGTAGTGACAAATCCTATGTACGTAATCTACGTTTCTGAATACGCGCTGCGGCATACCCAAAACAAAGCCTGTATACCATCCTTATTTCATATGGCTTAGGACAATGCATCAAAGTATGCGGGTTCACATATGCAGAAAACGTAATACTTCAAGTCGAAGGATAGTTGTTAGAATAAGTGACCAACGCTAGAGGGGGGGTGAATAGCGTTTGATTGTAGAAATCGCAGGAATAAAAAATTAAGAACGTGAAAAGTAAAGAGCGTAGAAAGCGTAAAGGGAGCACACCAAGATTTATACTGGTTCACCACAACGTGTGGCTAATCCAGTCTCCCGAGAGACTCTCTCGAGCTACACTACTTCCGTTAAGCTTACAGGTGCTTAACAAACTGTTACAACCTGAGAACTCGAGTCCCACGAGCCTCAACAACCTTGCTCGGAGATACCGCACTCCAAGACTTCAACCCGAAGGAAAATACCTTTCCTTCATACAACTAAGGGAAACAAGCTTCCCTTAACGTGTATAAAACACTAAGACACTCAAGAACAAGACTCTCCTTAAGAGTGGATATGAGTAAAATATATACGCTCAAGAACAACTCAAACTTCACACAAATTGGCTCTAGAAAGCTATGGAAAATGATGTTATTTGAATTCAATGAAAGTATGAATATTGTGACGTGAATTGGTGAGAAAAGTAGACCCAAACACCCCTTTTTATAGTGCAAAATTAGGCTCCAACGGACCAATGCATTAAAGGAGTGATTAGCTTGATTTATGGGATTGAAAAGATTTGGGATCTGCAGAATATTGGCTTCCCATCGATGTTTAGAATCAACCATCGCTCGTAAGCCAATTGTTCTTCAGTTTTGAAGCCAACGGTTACCTACCCATCGATGGGTACAAGCTTCCCATCGCTGGGTGGGAGGTTGACTTCCAAACAAGGAAAGAATCAACCTTTAATGACCACCAACGGTCATGCCTTCCCATCGATGGTATACCCTTACCATCGCTGGGTTCCCATTGATGGGATAGACTTCCCATCGCTGGGCAAGGTCGTTCTGCCTTGTGGTAATTTTGCACCAAGGCTTGAACAGCGATGGGTAGAGCTTCCCATCGCTGTTTGGCATGGTTCTGGAAGTTGGTTTGGCTAAGGGGCTACTTACCCATCGATGGGATGTTCTTCCCATCGCTGGGTGGGTGGTTAGCCAAAAACCTATGGTTTTTGCCTTAACCACGGCCTAGCCAACTGATGCAAAAACCGACCGAAAATTCCAAAGTTCTCCAAAATAAAAACTAAGTGTTTAAAACACTTATTTGATGTATTTGGCTAATAAATCAAGTGAGACACTTTAAAAATCACGTCATTTGAGTAAAAACCACGGCTAGCCAAGTTTACGCCGTTTTGTGTGGTTTTTGTCAAACGACTAAAAGCGAGAGATGGTTTTCAAGGTGTTTTTGTTGGAGAACCGTTTAAACATGCCAAAGAGTGAAAGCAGATCATAAAATGCTGAAAACCACTTGGTTGGTTCGGATGCCAAAAACCAAACCCGACAACCGAAAGCCGAACCCTGGTTTCTGAAAGCCGAACACTGAATGGCTTGGTTTTTGGTTTGGGCGAACACCAAGCGTTTTTTTTAATGACTTAAACAAGTTTAAAACCATTTTTATGATGTATGAAATGCAATGAGAGTTTTTAGCCTAAAGAGCCAAAGTGTAAAGATTGGGTCGGTCTTGATCACAATAAAGACCGACTCAATACTATGATTAAGGTCTTCGTTCTTGGTCTTCGTTTAGCTCTTGCTCTTATCTTCATTCTTCGCCTTGTATATTCAATGTTTGACTTGATCACGGC